ATTTGAATTTAGTAAAAAGGAATTAATTAAAACAAGACAAAAGAAAGCGTTCAGCCTCAGTGATCTTCCTTTGTCTTTTTAATTTATTCCTTTTTACTAAATACAAATGTCCTATTTTCTATGACAACGTTTCTGCAAGTAGGTGTATATAAAAAATGGAGATAATCATTTTAACAAAATCCCTCTACTGTTTTTAAACAGTAAAAAGTAAAAAGTAAAAAGTGTTAAAACACCTCCCCATGGTTGGACAGCGGGGGTTCGATTAGTAATTATCCAAGAGACATTGTTGYCTTTTTCAGAAGTTTTTGTAAACGCTTTATGTTGTTTCCAATCAATCAAAAGTGTTTTACATGRCATGATAGACATCACCCTTGCTTATTTTGCAGGCCTTTGTTGCTGTAGGACGAAAAATAAAGGAATTAAGACTTCAAAAGGTACAGTAACACTTTGTTCAGCCAGGCTAGTTTAAATCTACTTCCTATTCAATAAAAAAAAAAAACTTAACTAACAAACTTACAAAAAAAGTAAAGTTGATTGTTTTGTTGCTGTAGGAATTGCGACTTAAAGACATAGAGGGAATTCAGCCAATCACAGGGGACGAAGATAAACCACAGTCAAAATCTTGTTGTTAAAAATACTTCGTATAACTATTCTTAGCGTTAGCATGGTCGGACAGATTCAGAAATTTATCAGGGGGATGCACCTATGAGCACCCATTGATCCCCAATGTTTTGTGACGAATGTGAATTTTGATATTTTCTAAAATRTCGACCGTGGAAGTCTTTTATAGTACTTTTTATATTTTGGACATACTTTTCGCATTWCTACATGTATATTGTACAATACACGAAATTATCAAATATATTAATAACTGCTTTAGCGTTGTGCAGTATTTAAGCAATAAACAATACATTTTTGTGCGTTCCTGAAAAAGGCGTAAAARAMCGGCGAGAGATTTCAGTCTTTTGAGTGTCTTCCCAATATCCCAAGTGGTTTATTTAACCAGGAACGCACGAAAATATCTTGTTTATTGCTTTTATATTATAGCATTTTCGCATCCGTGCGTCTACCAGTGAAATATAAAATAACATCTGACCAATCAGAGAGCGCGTACTATGATATAACTATAATATAAATGGATATATACTTCTTTGCTTATGGCCCTGCTGGGAATATGGAACTAAGGACTATACTATAGTTGATTTGAAATCAACCAAAATACTTCGATCTGATTAAAAAAAAAAGCTTGAGTGCATATAATGCAAGGACGACTCTTTTAAATATCAYTCATTGAATAAAACATTGAAGCAGCAAATCATTGAGTGACGACTTATTTCAACAAAACCTGAAAAGCTATAGGTATCACTTTTGGAGTGAAGTTATGAAAGGTGGTGTTGTGTAAGCTTGCTTCAAAGTCTCTCATCTCTACACATCACTGCTTCACCACCTTAGTCTCCTCGCAACCGTATTTGTAGTTTCGGTCACGCGTAACACAACCGTAACACAACTAAACATTCTAAACACAGCTGCGAACAGACAGCCTCCACGTCTGCATTAGTCTAGCATTAAAGCTTGCATCTACACAGCTTCTTGCCGATCATCATGAGTACCAGTTATCAAAGTTCTTTTGAYCCTAAAGCATACTTTGAATGCTATTTTAACGACCCCAAAAAGATAGACACTTTTCCACTTGAAAAGCAAAATCACTTTTGGAGCGATGTTGTTAAGGATATTAATGTTGCGAGCATGCTGGAGTATGGAGCTGGACCAACCATCTCAAGATTTATAAGTGCATCCCATTACGCTCAGAAYATTATCGCTGCAGAGTACTTAGAATCAAATCGMAAGGYTCTGCAAGACTGGATTACTCAAGACCCAAAGGCATTCAATTGGAGACCTTATTTTGAGTATGTKGTACAAACTCTTGAAGGAAAGTCATCAGAAGAAGTTGACAAAAGAGAATCTGAAGTCAGAGAAAAGATTAAAGCTATCGTACCCTGCGACCTAAAGTCACCATCAAACCGTCTTGAGATTCCCAGTCACATATCTGCAAAGTATGGTCCGCCGTTCGACGTTGTTTCTTCGTGTTTATGCCTCGAAGCAGTCGTTGRATGCGAGAARGAGTACAAAGAGGCAATGGCYTWCCTTGCCAAGCTGGTTCGTCCTGGTGGGTACCTCGTCATGATTGGTACAATAGGATGCACCTTTTACACTGTCGACGGCAAAAGGTTCGACAACTTTCCAAATACAAAAGAGTTGGTCTTGGAGAGCATGTCGAATGCTGGATTAAACGAAGTTGTGTTTGAATGTGCAGAAGAAAAATCTGTCGACTTTGAAAGGAAAGGGGGAYCTGATTTGTATGATGGAGATGGATTCTTCTTTGCTTATGGGCGTAGAGAATAAGCGAATAA